TTTTTTTTTTTTTTTTTTTTTTTTTTTTTTTTTTTTTTTTTTTTTTTTTTTTTTTTGTTTGTTCCAAGAACGCTCTCTTCTAGTGTTCAAACAAACCTCCGACAATCATTTTTTGTCCTTTCCTTTCTTTATTCTTATTATTTTTTTGTTCATCCACGGTCAGCTCTATAATTGGCGACCTTCACTACTATATCTTTGATAAGCGTGTCCACACTTTCACGACAGGCACTCACAATGTCGTGTGTCTTTTGCAAGTCGCTGAAGGAATTACTCAAAATGAAATCGAACTCAACGTTCTTTCTCGCAGTCAACCAATTCATGCTCTTCAAAAAGTCGTTGTATCCACTTTGTTCATGAAGCGCCTTCTTGTCAACAGTCTCTTTCAAATTGATCGTGCAAAGATCCTTGTAGATGTCCGAGATATCCAAGCTGCTGATCATTGCAACTTGAATCGTATGCATCATGGTAGAGACAAAGTCTGAAAAGTCTCTGTTCTTCAGTAGAATCGCATCTTGGACATCATCCATGACCATAAAAGCTTCAGGGAGAAGAGCCAAAATCTGACCCAAATCCTCTTCCACTTTATCTAAAACCTCTTTAGAGGTATCGCATTTTTTGATGGTCCGGATCACATTTCCAATCATCACACCAGCTGTGCAAACAAGATGAAAAGCTGAGTCAATGTCTCTTCTGAGCCCAGTCAACCAGCCAACATATTCACTAATCTGCGTTCTGGGAACGTCAGAAAAATTCTCCCGAGTGAACCTGAAGCACTCAGAAAATTGGAGAGCCAACTTCTTGATCTTTTTCAAATCATACTGGCCTTTGAGGCTGCTTCTAGCTGCCCTACACATATCCAACTTCTTCCACAAGTCACTCTCCAAGCTCTTGTATTCTTCTTCGCAGAGAAGCCTTTCAAACCGTCCAGCGTTGAGTTCATTTTTCTTGGCCGGGGTTGAATTAATTTCATCTTCGGAAACCAAGAGATGGATATCACCCACGACAGGTATTTTCCGCGTGGCTTCACAAATAATTGCAAGGTTGTCATCTTCAAAAAGAATCTCCCCTCCAGATCTCAGTTCCCCATCTGGAAAGAGAGTCAGCCATAGAGACATATTCTGAATACTAATCAGAGGGTTCAGATGGGGAGTCTCTTCAGATTTTGCTCCAGTATTTGCAACTGACGTCGAAGAAGATGACGCCTCATTAGGTAGTTCTGGGGTCGAGAGAACAACATTGATAATGGCTCTTGGTTTTTTTGGAGCCTTTCCTTTCATTATTGGTCTCAAAGTGCCCGACTCTGAAGTGATCAATATATTTTCTGCATCGGATGGGACATCATTCCAATGGGACTTTTTGGGCAAGGCCAAAGATCTCAATGTTCCAAAGTTTGGCGCGGAGGTGACATCAATTGATTGAACTGTAGCTTCCTGATTCCCAGCATCACAGTTCTGCATTTCTGGAATTTGTGGCGACAAAGCACGGCTCGATTCTGAGACTTTCCAAACAAGCTTTGTGTTATCTAATCTTTCGGAAGAAGCATGGTCCAAAAGAAGAGTAGATACATTTTTCGGTACTTCCGCATCCGCCGACAAATCAGAAGCTTCTTTGGTTTGCGAGTAAGTTTCACTCTTAGTCACAGGATTGTAGGCGGAACCGTTGAACGTCTTTGTCAAGTCCTCAAAAGAAAGATGTTTGAGACTTTCAATCTCCTCGGCATTAGAAAGACTTTCTTTCTGCCTATGATTTGAGTCCATGCTTTGACGCTCAAACTCAAAAAGTCTCTCCGATTGAGAAGTGCCCACGGAAACAAGTCTTTTACTACCCTCAAAATTTGCAGTCTCTTTTAACATCTCAAGAGAGCACAGATTTCCAGGAAAGTTGGTTTCTTCTTTCAAAATACCATCTCCAGAAAAGCTTCCCTCTTTGAATTCTCTTTCAGAGTTGTCGATGCCATCATAGGTGAATTCGTCTTGCTTGCCTGCTTTGATATTTTCAACATACTTCTGAACCATACCATTTGCAATTGGCGTGTCAGACTTGCGAACAACATGAATTGGTTTAGTATAGATTGCCTCAATAACCTCACTTTTATCCACATTTTCGAAAATCAAGCTTCTGACGACAGGGTCGCTTGAGCTCAGAACACCAGCAATGATATTGGAGCAACGATTATCAGCCTGCCTATCTTCCTTTGCCACGAGCTCATATTTCTTTGAGTTCAGGTGGCCTGCTGCAATAATCTTGGTGTCCGTATTGGGCGTCTGAGACTTGACGGAGGAACTGATCAATTCTCCATCATTTTTTCTCGCCTCGTCACAAACTTTAGCAGCTTTAGGAGAAAAGATCTTTGACAAAAGGGAAAATGTCTTTGATGGGCCTTTGACAGTGCGAGATTCCAGTCCCCCCTCGGATTTTGGCAAACTGACGGCAGCTTTAGGAGACCTGGGTCGTGTCCTGATCTCCAACGTTGGATTTCCTGATGTCTTGGCATCCAGATTTTCCATTAGGTAACCAGGCTTTTCAGTCAAAACACATGTGGTGTCAAACGTTTCCACTAAAAATGGAGAAATCAAAGACATCCTAGTCCTCAGGGGTGATTTTGGAATCGCACTCACGTCTTTTCTTTCAAGAGTGCTTTCCTTGCTTTTAAGCCTGAATTCTTTTGGCAGAAACTCATCAGCAGAAATTATCTCACTTGGGAATGAAGCGGCTCTAGTAAAAGAAGTCAATTCATTGGTAAAGACTTTTTCTGAAGCATAGCAACCGGAGTATCCAATTGATTCATTATCTGCGGCAGTTTTCATGCTTGCCCCTTCATCAATTCCCAAATCTGCGCCTTTAATAATGGGAATGGCCGTTTGTTCGGAATTGCAAGGGGATCCCTGAGTGACTTCCTGTTTACCCTGAGTTTCAGTTTGAGGTTGAGTGCTTGCTGTCTTTTCCAAGCCCACTTGGGAATTCGAATTGGGGGCTTCCTTTAATTCTGCCAAGCCAATACTCCCCGACTCGGTAGCCCCATTTTTGCTGGCCTTCAAGAAATTCTCGACATGGTAGTAGATTACCGGATTGAAATCATAAGGCCACTCCAGATCATAATTTGATCTTCCGTCGTCAGAAAAGAACTCGCTCCAGTCCCGGGGCTTTGGCAAGTATCTGTCAGGAAAAAAAGAACGCCAGCCATTTCCATCCTTGATAGCGGCCCGGAACTTCTGGGGCCATTTTGGAGTCTTTCTAAGAACCGTCTTGACGCCAATTTTCATCTTGAAGCGACTCCGGTTGAGTTTCTCACGAATGCCAAAATTTGCCTCGCTTTGAATAGAAGTGGGGGCAAGTCCATTGTGGTATTCGTAGTCCTCGCATTGTTCATCAAAAAACTCATATTGTCCATCATAAAACTCTACCTGACCCGCGGCGAGCTCCTCTGGCAGCATGGAAACCACATCGATAAGCGGCCCCACAGTGTTGTCCAACCATTGATCAAACAAAGGCAAATTGGGATCAGAGGGAACAAAGACTCTTTTCCCCAAATCCTTCTTGCTCAAAGTTCTCTTGTCCTTTCCAAAGTTTATCCCTTGGGGTTCTTTTACCCCCACTAATTTTTTTAATTTTTTGGCCACGCGGCGAGCTTTCCGCATGGCGCGGGCCCGCTTCTTCAGTTTAGGCCCATGTTTTTTCGGGGCCGCCCCCTTCTCTGGGGCAAAATTCGCATCTTTTGGCCCGGATTTTGCAGCCATTTCCGGGACTGCCGCAGCCACTTCTGGCCCCATGCATGGGGCCGCGCCCAATTCTGGGGCCACTGGCTCTCCGCATTGTACACTGATTTGTGCACCAGCACCAGCCAAGCTACATGGAGCTTGGGTGGCGCCAATTTCCAAAGAATCGACTTGAGCTGGGGTTTCTCCCTTCAAGTCGATTGCAATGGCTTCGGAAACCTTGTCAGGCTTCTTGGCCGATACCTCCTCCACACTACCTTTAGTAGTAGTGGAGGCTTGGACCAGCCAGGCACCCTTGGCGGCAATCAATTCAGCGTACACTGAAGCATATCCATCAATGGGGTGAGATCTTTCTTTGCAGCCAAAAAAAGATCCAACGGTTCCCTTGGCGTGTCTCTCATACCAGCTGCGAGTGTCAGCTGGTTGGTTGGCGCCGGTGGGAATGGTTGGCATGGTGAGCTCAGAGGAGCCCACGAAAGCAGAACTTGATTCGAATGAAACAGTCATTGGTTCAAAGTCAAAAAAAGTCCGGAGGGGTGGGTGGGGTGTTTCTTGTTGTCGATTATAGTGTTCACTTGAATAGTCTTGAGTCAGAGTCTTCCAGTGATCTAAGTTCGAGAAGAAGAAAGGTGGTGGGAGATAAAACTGAGTTGGGAGAGACAGCGCCTCAATTTATGGCTATATCCAACACAAAGCCGGTGCTGAGCATAACATCTGCTAGCTTGTCATATATTTTTCGCGACCCTTGATCTGAGTCTCTGGCTAGATACAAGTCTATCGACTAAGAAATATCTCATGGCTTTATAACCCCCTTATAATTTTTGGTTTTATGTAGCCTGTAGAATTATGTATGTTCTTGCATAATTTGGTGTTGTATATGTGAGAACGTTGCAGGTCTCCCTGCGGAAGAGGTTGCGTTGTTGGGAATGTAGGAGCCTTACAGAGTTGATGCAGTTTTTGGAAATTGAAAGACTTCAATTTCAGCTACGAGCCAGAAAACTGTCACCAAGAAGAAAAATGAAAAGAGGCCTAGAAGTGATTTTGCAATATGATACTACCAAAATAAGCGATACGAGAAGTACTTACTAAGTTATTCTAATTTGCGAATTCTCTATCGTGAGTTGAGATCCTTGTATTCACGTTCAGAAGACTTGTGGATGCTGGGGCCATTCCCTTGGAGGTGAACTTGATTGGTAAAATGTATGGCAGCTAAGCTCTTTTTATTATTTGAAAACCACGACTGAATTTCACTTTTGAAAATTTACTTAACTGATTTTCAGGCCATACTAGAAGTCATTCGGGTTCTCGAGGGAGCAAGTTTTGGGGTAATAATAGCAGTTGAAACAATGTGAGCAGCGAGTCAATTTTTTAGCTTAAAATTATGTGGAATTTTTAAGCAAAGCACACCGATCTTCTAGCTCTTTTTTCATAGATTGTCTATGCCCGGATTGCTAACTACTTTTTTTGGTCATGGGTGATAGCCACTACTCCAAATAAACTCAACCAAGTTTTCAGCGGTTTCCAATAACTAGTGGATTGACTTTTTGGTAAATACCAACCCATAAGTTCCAAATATGCTAGACTCGGTGCTTCTAAAGATTATAGTCCCCATCAGCTGTACACTCTTCGAAAAATTTCAGGAGTCTTTAGCAAAATGAGACACACAGTTGATATTTGCGGTAACGAAATTAGACGTGTTTCGAATTCCAAAATAGGACGTTGATGACAAGCCCGTCTACTATTCTCACATGGATACACTTGTACCATACTGGCTGTGGCCTTCTGTCCTCCTCCTCTCGAAATTGTAGGATGACTGGGCTTATCTTCTGCAAAACAAAACACTTACCTTCTCAATAACTACACGGCTCAGGTCTTGCACCCAATTTACTGGCTTCCAGAATACACCATGACTTGCATGATACCCCCAATACATACACTATATATAAATCCAAGGGTCAGCCTTGTCCACCACCAACTTCCCATTGCACCAGACCTTGACACAATTCCTGTCGTCTCCTGAAAATAGCCACCTGTGCACCAACAGAACCATCTTTTTCTCGTAGTCTTCCTCTCCCAACACCGGGGTTTGAAAGTCAAACACGTCGATATTCGAGTTGACACTGTGCACGTCGATAAGTTGCGCGTCAAAGTATTTGCCTTTGGCAAAGCTGCCGAGGCTCAGCTCCAAATTACAAGCCTTGGCGCCCCCCATCGTCGCCATATATAGAGCATCTGCCACACTGAGCTTGTGGTCTTTTTCGCTGCCCATCGTCAAGTGGTGGGACACCATCACCAGGTTCTTGGCTACGCCCAAAATGGACTGTTCGTAGCCCCCCGAGAGGTCGGTGCCCAAAGATACGTTGATTTGGTCCTCGTAGAGATATTCTCTTACCGGTGCTTCACCACTGGTGATGAAAGAGTTCGACGTAGGGCAGTGGCTGATGGAGCACTGTTTCTGCTTGATGATCTGGCGCTCCTGGTCATCCAAATAAACGGCGTGGGCCAAGATGGTCGAGGGCCCGAGCAAGCCGTGTGTATCGTAAACAGAGGTATAGTTAGCGCACTCCGGAAAGATTTCCCTGACCAACTTGATCTCGTCGATGTTTTCCGAGATGTGCGTTTGCACAGGGAGGCCCTTCTCGCGGGAGAGCAGGCCCAACTGGGCCATGAGGTCCCGCAGGCACACGGGTGCAAATCGCGGGGTGACTATGGGCTTCACCATCGGCAAAGCACCCTGTGGCTGGCCGTTGTCGTTGATTTTCTCGCAGTGGTCGATAAGCTCGTGCATGCCTGCAAGGCACTCTGCCGCCGGCTCGGCGTAGCTGGGAAAGGGCTGGTTGTAGTCCATGCATACCTTGCCCACCATGCCTCGCTGGCCTTTTTGTGCAAGTAAGTCGGCAAACACTTTGGTGGTCTCCGTGTCTACCGTGGTAAAGTACGACGCACAGGTGGTGCCGTTGGTCAATGTTTTGTCGATGACTTTGGAGTAGATCTCCCTTGCAAACCGGAGCCGGTCTTGCTGATTGCCGCAGAACTTGCTTTCGAGTGCAAACGTGTAGTCTTTGAGCCACTCGAGCAAGGGCAACTCCGAGCCGATGCCCACGTTCGGGTACTGCGACGCGTGGATGTGTGTGTCTATGAAGCCGGGGAATAAAAACGTGCACGTGCTTCCGGAGTAGTCCACAAAGGTGAAGTCGTGGTTGGCGATGGTGCGGAAATAGGCACAGGCTGAGCCATGGATATCCTTTTTGGCGGGGCCGAAGGAATCGAGATAGGCGATCTTGCCCCCGCTTTCGACCCCCACCAACGAATCGGGCAAAATCTCGATCTGGCCGAGCTTGGGCGTGTGCACCAACGTGGCATGGTAGAGGGTATACTGAGCTGAAGAGGTGGAGCTCATCTAGGAACCAGTAATCGGGTCTGCGAGCTTGGAGAAAACTTGTGGTGGAGTCGGCCGTTTCTGGATGATGGACTCAATGCAGGGGCTGGGCTCAGATCTGGATGGCGGGTGCTTGAACGTGTTTTATGCCTGGGTCTGGAGACTTATATAAGAGCACGACTAGTGAGGCTGGACCGGCTTTTCCGACGGAAGCGCGGGGTTGCCGGGCGAGATAAGACTGCGAGAATGGGCGGGGTGCATATAGGGCCCCGGCCGCCTTTGAGGGTACGTCGGGTCTTGTCTTCTTTCTTGTTTGTTTATTCTTTTGTTTGTTTATTTTTATGTTTGTTTATTTTTATGTTTGTTTATTTTTATGTTTGTTTATTTTTTTGTTTGTTTGTTTCTTTTCAGTGACTTGGGCTCGTTTTCCAGGCCCATTGAGCACTTGATATGGGAGCGTTCTTGTCGGTGTCTCAAAGCTTTTTGGAAGCATTTTAGGCTTTCCAGCCTAGCCTTTCTATGCGCTTGATGTTTCTCGGGACTCTCCGGACCCGCACCCTCAGCGTATAGTATGCGATGTATTGTTAGGGACTCTGACACGTTCTTGACGCAAGACAATTGTGCAATGCCGTAGTTCTGTAGACGAGAGCAGCCGAAAACGGCGATGCTTAGTGATATGCAGCCCCAGGGAAAAAAACCCTTATATCTTTGGATTGTACTAGAGAAGGGGAGAATACCTCTCGGCATGTTGGCATCATGTTGGCATGTTGGCATCATGTTGGCATTACATGGATCGGCATTAAATGAGCTTATGGGAAGTCGTAAAATTCTTGGGTACGACCATTCATCTAAAGTGTCGTCTCCCGTGACACTATCGTGAGCACATACAACAATCTCTCCTACCTATACAGGTTCCTGCGAAATTAGTAATAATAGCTCCACCCGAAGATCTTCTGTTTACAGCTCTCGGTCAAGGCGATATCCACGGGCTCTGCATCAATAGAGATATTTAGTTATCATGCATCAAAAAATCAAACGAACATGGGGCTGGCGTTCCAGGCCCCGCAATACACGGCATTTCGATCTCCCCATGCGAGTGCCGCGAATTGACAATAGGAAAGGAGAGGCCTTTTCTTCCCTGGCCGTTTGTATTAGCTCGAAGCCTCCTTAAAAAAAGGCGGATTCGCTTGTTTATCTTTGTGGACTCGACTGGACTAAACACAACATTTTAGAGTACATGAGCTGTTGGCACACGCTCGGTCCATCCGGATGATACTGCTGATGTGGCTACTGATTCATCCAAGTAATTTTAGAAGCCTCGTACAATAGAAACCCGCAAATCAGTTAACTTACTCGGATGACTCAAATACTGTGCGTTTTGGGAGGCCGTGCAGCTCACGTCACTGGATCCTACAGGGAGGTTGCAGTCGTCACCAGACCTGTCTTAAGTGCTCAAGACATAAAGACAATGCCCCTTGCCCATGAAAACACGTCAAATTTCGGATCGGCTCAAATATGCGCCGTTAAGTCCTCTGCTCCATAAACTCCAACAAATGGTACCTGCTGGCTTAAACAAATTATATGTTTCACCCACCAAGCAGTGGTTTCGTATTCCGTCCCATAATAGAACAAACTCCATAATAGAACAAACTAAAGACGAAATTTCTCAGGCCACGCTACAACGAACAAATTACACGGAGATGCATATATACAGCAGAGCACTCGAATGACCAACGATCAGATATGACGCTCGTCAGAGAACGCGTGACTTGAAGAAATCAGTTTATTAACATAAGAACGCCAGGCCGCGGCTCGTGACTACTGGCTTTGTGTGGGTATAATACCACGAAGTAAAGATCTAAAGCAAAATGCTATTTAGTTTACAACAATGCACCCGCAAGACCCACGACAGCGGCAGCGGCAGCACCGAAGGACTTGGCACCGTTGGCACCTGCAGAGACTGTCACAGAAGGTGACAGCGAGCTCGAGGAGCTGGTCTCGGTGCTTGTCGAAACGACGCTGGATACCAAAGTTGGAGCAACAGAAGACGTCTCTGAGACAGTGGATTCCTCGGACGAGGCAGCTGTGGAAACGAGAGAGGAGGCCTCGGAAGAAGCACTCGAGGGGGCGCTAGAGGAAGCGACGGGCGACGAAGAAGCGATCGTAGAGGAAGCTGCGGCGCTGGAGGACGACGAAACAGCGCTGGAGGACGACGAAACAGCGCTGGAGGAGGAGGTCACAGCGCTGGAAGACGACGAAGCAGCGCTGGAAGACGATGGAATAGCGCTGGAAGACGACGAGAAAACAGCCGACGACATGTAGCCGCTGCAGGAGTCAGAAAGAGAGTCCTTAGCAGTGTCGGCATTGTCGTTGGGGCAAATCAGATCCAAGCAAGACTCGATGGCACTGTATTCGACCGAACAAAGGCACGTCAAATCGTTCAAGCCAGAACACGAGGACTCCTTCTGGACTTGGGCCACACATGCCAACAAGCATGCTGGGGGAGTGGCAACAACCTGAGGAATGGCGACAGCAAGTGCAAGCAAAGTGGAGATCTTGATACCGTACATTTTGGAGTTTTTGGTGGGGTTTTTTTGGAATGAAAATAGTGTTCGGAATCCTATTTTTAGGAAGGTCTGGCTCACTGCGTGGGCACTTGCGTGCAGGACAAATAAGCACCAGCACACAGGTCGGTGGAAATGGAAGACTCAGTTGGGTAAACAAACATCACGTGAGCGCTCATCGGCGGCAAGTCCTTTTGGAACCGGTCGGGGCATTGGCTGTAAATTGAGTGACACCAGGGCAACACGAGCCAGGTTCCACTCTCAAGATTCTATGTTGACCCTGGAGAAATGGGACAAACATTGGAGGTGCACGTGACGTGCTTTTTCGAAATACTGGCCCAGTGTGTGCAACCACATGGCTACTTTTGGACAAAAACAAATAAGCTTCGCCCAGCCATACAGGAGGTTAGGGGGCAAGCGAGTTTTGTTTGGGTGATGTGTGCTCTTTGAGACTGCTGCAAATTTGTCAGACTCGACGCTCTGCTGAATCCAAAAACATTGACAATTAGTGACTACCCGCTGGTCTCTGGTGAGGAGAATCATAATGATGAGGCGTTCAATACTGTACACACAGCAGGCGTAAGTCTATAAAAAGCCGGCTTGTCCTTATGTGCAGTCTCGCTACCGCTAGCAGCATATCTTTCATAGATATTTCCTGGACAGAGTTGGCAAAAATAGCTTTCAATTGCCGGTATTTAGACATGAAGCTCTGGGCTCAGACAGGTATGATTATATAAACAAAAGTGGCAAGTTTTTCGACCATTGTTCATTGTGTATACGACCCATTTGCTGGGCTCAGCCTTCTTTCTTCCCACTGACGCTCGCGGAATGAATTCTATACATTTTCAAGATGTGCGATTCAAATGGGCTGAGATTCCGTGTGGTGTGCATTGCAAAATACATACAACTTGTTTATTAATAAAAATAGTCTTGGAACCAGAATCCAACTTCTCAAACGTATTAAGTAATTGACATTCGAAAGTTGATAAACTACAGTATATGAGCTCTAGCGGAGCAACACTAGTGGTAGCCCAGTGAAGTCCCACTCTCCAGCGTTGAAAAGTATTTATATCATTTCTCCACAAAAGAGACATTTTATATTCTTCAGTGGTCAGTCTGCAGTGGCAGCTTATCTGCAGCCGCTTGTAATCTGGAATCCTGAAGCTGTGCAAAACCTGCGATGTTTGGAAAGTGCATTGAATACGACAGAAGACCACATAAACTATGCAAATTTCGGAGCTGATGGAGGAATATCTTTTATTCATTCAATGAAGTTTGTTAACTAAAACCAGCTGTCTGTCATACTTATTTATTTATTCACTTTCTTTTGAACCTAGGATCATTCTGTTCACTGTCATCTGTGAATAGAGAAGGTTAGGATGTCTTTCTTGTTACGCTTTTTTTTCAGTTTTTTATTTTTTTTAAAAAAAACATCATATCATAGGGGGTGATTGGAGAAACGTAAAACTCCACCACTAACGGAATACTATAAAAAAAACCTATAATAGATCACAACAATGGCTGAAGTGAGTAGGCGTGAGTACCAATTCACGAAATCTCCCAAAGAGGATGTGATCCCTCAAAACGACTTTCAACCATAACCAATGTCAACCACTTAAATAAATGAGCAAAACTATATAAGTAATATATATAAAAATCCTTTAAACAGCTCCCAGCTACGTACCAAGTATCGAAATTCGAATTATTTTCGACTTTTTACTCCCCATATGAGAATATCAATTGTATTTAAATCGATATACTTAGAAGCTGTCAATAAAGAGACGTTGTTTTTAAATATCCTCTGAGTTTAAAGCTCTTCAACTTTGCAGCACTTTGAGTTAACATCGTTGGGCGTGTGGCGCAGTTGGTAGCGCGTTCCCTTAGCATGGGAAAGGTCTCCGGTTCAAATCCGGACTCGTCCACTTTTTTTTCAATTATTGCTTGAAGTTCATGGATCGAATAATTTCGTTGAGAATCAATACTTCGATCACATGAGAACGGAGATTGGTAACAAATTAGTGGCTGATTGTGCTCTGTATTTCATGTGTAGTGCATGCTTAATACCATCGGGAAGAAGCAGATTGGAACTCTGCTTATAGTCATGGGAATTCAGAATTTTCAAAAATTCAGATACATTTTAATATAATAAATTTGCCTTTATCTCGGCAAATTCAAGAAGTTGTTTGGCCTTGTTTTTGTTAGCTATGAGGGCGCAATCTATGGCATGATGGCTGTTCGATTTTCATGTAATCGCCACTTGTGCGACTTGACATAGATGTCGATCCGCGAATCGGTAGCCTGATTTCGCAGCCATACTTTGTTAGGCCGCCGACTGCAAAAAGTCAGTTATTCTATATAAACAGGTGTTCGCTTCACCTTCTGCAAACTCTCTTCCATCACTCCCTTCTTCACGAACATACGCTCCATCATGATTGCACAAGTGATTTTTTGCTTCAGACTCATCAATTGCGTTTCGGAAATCGCCGCGCTTTGCCTTTCAGGCTATTTTCTTGTCGTGCTCCCTCTTGAACTCTCGGTCCAGGCAGAATCTGCCACCATGGACTTGAACGCTGTTCAAATCGAAGAATACTATTCTGGCCCCTTTGGGGCTGAACCTGAGATTCAGACTCGCAGTGGAAACACTACCTCTGATTTCATCTCTGTTCAAATTGCTGCTGCCTCTGCTCCCTTTCATCCCAGATATTCAAAGGCCACAGAAACAGACTCCTCCACTGCCTTCTCTCCATCAAGCGACGGTAGCTTTTTGGAATTGTCCGACGGAGACACTGGTGCTTCTTCCGTTCTTTCTTTCAACTCAGACTCTAAGCTTGGCTCCTCGGCTGGTTCTTCTATGAAGCCAGCCGTAGTTGTAGACTGCACTGAGAATGATGAGATCAAAAGAACGCAAGGAAACTTGTTCCCGGACAACAATTCTATTTTCAATGGGGAACTTGAAATCTCCAAAGTGGAAACCATCGCTCTGCTGCCTGCCGCTAGCCCAGATATCGACATGGAGTCTGGGTGGCAAGTTCAGGGAAGAAAGCGCAGAAATTCTCGCAGAAGAACTGGCACAAAAGTGGATACACTCTTTGGGACTAAG